TTGGCAGTTGAGCGCCTCCCCCTGCCGTGCCGCGCCTGCCGTGCCGCAGGGCGGAGGCGGAGGCGGCAGAGGCGCAGCGCGCGGAGGCCGAGGCGGCGCTGCGGCGGCGCAAGAGCGAGAAGCGGCTGGCGCTGCCCGAGGAGCCGGCCGCAGGTGTGTGTGTGTGGGGGGGGGGGCTGCTTGGCTTGCTCCCTGGCTGCCTGCCTGCTTCCGCTGCAGGCGTGAGCTCACGATGCCGCGGCGACGCCGGCTGGGGCAGGCTTGCATCGCCCAGCCGCCCCTTTCTGCTGCCCTGCGCTGCATCCCTCGCTCCTGCCCTCCCTCACGTGAGGTGCACCCGCCCACCCCTCACACACGAACACGCCCTTCCCGCTCTCACTTCCCTTGCAGGCACCCCCGGAGCCACCCTCATCCGTATCCGCCTGCCCGACGGCTCCAGCCACCAGCGCCGCTTCGTGGCCGCTGACCCGCTGCAGGTGGGGTGGCGCCGCGCTGCGCCGCGCTGCGCCACGCACGGAATGCAGCGTGGCCGGGACACGCGCCCTGCGCCTCAACCCTGCAACCCTGACTCCCTGACTCCCACCGCCCCCCAAAAAACGCTGCTCTATCTGATCGCCCCCGTCGTGCCCCCGTCCGCCACCACCACCACACACACGGACACATACAATTTCACCCTTTGCTTCCTCACTGCCCCCTCCCAAGCAGGCCGTGTACGATTTTGTCGATTCCATTGAGGCGGTCAACGCGCTGCAGTACAGCCTGGCCACCACCTTCCCGCGCAGGGCGTACCGCCGAGAGGGTGAGAACAGCCGAGCACCAACGGTTGGCTGGCGGGTGGCAGGCGGTGGGGTTGCGAGGCATGTGTAGCAGGCTGGGGGGTAGCAGGGCATGGTCAGGTCTCTGGAGTGTTTTAGAGGCCATATGGGCACAGCTAGGGGTGGCCGGTCCCAAGTGTCTCGCCCCGGTTTCGGCTACGGCATGCTGGTCAACCCTCTACCCTCTGGCCCTCAGGCCGCTGAGGGAGGGGAGAATCAGGGCATGGTGGCGGGCAGGCTGGCCGCTCAATGGGCGTATCAACTCGTGCGCCTCACACACGGCCGCGCTCTGCCCCCGCATGCAGACAGCGCGGGGAAGAGCCTGCTGGAGCTGGAGCTGGCGCCGCAGGCTGTGCTGCTCATGCAGCCGGAGGACGACTGAGCGCTGGCTCGTTGCCGGCCGAGGGGGCGGGAAGAGCAGGCAGCTTGCGGCTCCCATGGCAGCCAGGGAAGCTAAATCTGTTCACATATTTTGCTTCACAAGGCCGTTTGTTTTTTATCAATGAACAACGTAACACGAGAGAATAGAGGTATTGGAGGTGGGTGCCCGCTCAGCTCCCTGGCTCACATGCCACCTGGGTAGCAGCATGACCCCGTTGGGTGCACGGATAACGCCTCCATTCTGTTTCCCGCTCTCGCCATCTGGAACGACGGCAACGCGATTGCAGGGCAGGCAGGATTGCGGGGTGAGCTGGCCTGGAAAGCATGCGGCTGGCAGGCGCCGGCGCCCGCCGGCCGCACCTGGTGGGCACCGGTGGCTGGCCTCCTGGATCTCCTTCACCGCCAGCACGGCCTGGTCGCCGTGCACCGGCGGCAGGCGGCCGCCCAACCACTACCCGCAAGCCTGCACGGGGGTCGGCAGAGTTCAACGGCAGGCCGGGCCCACCAACTCGGCGGAGGAGTACGGGAGAGCGTTCTGTTCAGGGTGCTGCCTCGTGATGGCGGTGCAGCCTCGTGATGGCGATGCAGCGTCGTGATGGTGGTGCAACCTCGTGCTGGTGGTGCACCTCGTTTTAGGATACACCCTAAACCCTAAATAATCGCTGAAGGGAAAGCACCAGGGCTTGGGGTTGGGGAAGGGGCCGCAAACAGGGAAGCGGGATTGGGGGGAGGGGCTGGCGCGCACAAAACGCGTCGCAGGGGCCGAACAAGTCGCAGAGGGGGTGGCCGGGCACCAATGGGGCACACGGGGGCTCATACAACGGGCCGGGAGCCGGCACCGGCCCGAGGGGGTGTTCGCCGGACTAGCCGAGCCGCGGGCGCCGCAGGGCCCGGGGCACCCCTCCACGCACCATCAGGAGGCCATCTCGAGTGCGGGCAGCTGCAGAATGGGCGGCTGGCGGGCCAAGCGAGCCGGCGATGCTGCGGTCGCCCTCGTCCTGCGTCCCCAAGGCAGGGTGTTGCTCAAGAAGGGCCCCAGAGGAGCGGGAGGGGGGCGCGGGGCCCGGCCGCGCCGGGGGACTCGAGCAAGGAACGATGAACAACAGTCTGTGTGTGTGTGTTACAGGGATTGGGCACATTAATGTGCTGGGGCCGAACCCACTAACCCTGCCGGCTGTCCAGAGCGAGGAAAATCTGGCCGCCGATGGCATCCCGGGGAGGCTCCGTCTTGCAAGCGCCATGCCGGTCTGCCGGGCAGCCGTCCGCCGCCCAGATGCCGCCACGAAGGTGCCGTGAGGCAAAGTCCCAGCTAGTGTCCCGGCTGGGGTTCGAACTCGTGCCTGTGGTATCACCCACCGGCACTCACCCAGCTCCTTATTTAACGTCGCGGCCAACGACGGAACAGTCGCGGCAAACTCGCGAAAAAGTAGATCCAGTGGCATAACTGGTATTATAATGATCATCGCATCGAATTGGCTGCATAGTGTAGTGGTTATCACAGTGGACTCTGATACAAAGAGGTTAATCCACTAACCGCAGTTCGAATCTGCGTGTGGCCTAGCTTTTCTATTCATCGACACTTTTTTGTTTCAAGTTTCAGCAGGGCAAGCAGGCATAGTTCAGGGGGTTTAGGGGGTTTGCTGCTCCATGAACAATTCCCAATGCTCCGGATGGAGGGGTGCTGCCCGAATGCTGCCGCTACCACCGCTCCCACGGTTTGTGACTTAGCATTGACTTTTCAGGCTCTGGCCATCACTTTTCGGGCTCCGGCTGCCACTGGGCCCTAGGGCCAGTCGGAAATCGTGCACGCCACGCGAGCGGCGGAGCGAGCGGGAGTGGCGCCACACAGACATAAAGTAATCAAATTGTGGCAGTTTATAGAACTGTATGCCCTAAATCGGGGCGGCACATGTGCTCCACCTGCGCGACAGAAC